GCAATGGGTCTTTTTTTTTTTTTTTTTGGAGGAATCCCTCCATAGAGAAATTCTTTCCGATTTGCTGTGATGGAACAAGAGTACTCTCATAGGAAAACCTTCAACACTTAACCTGTTCTGTCTTCAAATAAAGTGCAAAACTTAGGAATTCAGAACCGAGATGAAGGGAAGGAAGGTATTACTAATTCTGAACTGAATAAAATGAGGCATATTTGCTAGAAGGGAGAACATCTGTACATTTTAGCAGCAGCTCACATGTAACCAAGAAAGCCTGAAACAATAGCTCTAAGATGTAAACTGTCACACTAATCTCAGTGGATGCTAGTTTGCATGCTGATTATACTTTAACATTAGCAATTAAGCATCAGAGTGTTCCTAAGAAAGGAACAATATTATGAAGTCTACCCAACAGCATAGTAAAATACTCTCCTAGGAGAAGAAAGATATGGATTTGACTCTTCTCTAGAGGAGAATAGATTTGGACTCAAGTTCTCAGAAGCCCAAGAGGTCTCTAACCGGTATGACAGCGGGAAAAGCTCCCCTTCCCATCACTGACCTAGTGTAGGTATATAGTTCCAGAAGAGTATTCCCTTATATAACCCTCAAGCAGAGACACGTTTCCTTACAAGATGATGTTAGACAGCTATTATGAAGGACAAAGCTTATGCTTACCCTTTTATTTAGTATTTCCTACTGTCTAGCTAGACAGCTTCCCACTCAAAATACTGTTTCAATTATAGGAATTTAATTTTCTTGTGTACTATAAAAAAGACAGTTAGGACAGTTAAATTACAGTTAAGCTTCTAAATTAGCGTAGGTGGTCAGATGCCTAGAAGTTATCCATAAGCAATGCAGTCCTTTGGAAGTGCATTGACAGCAACTTCCTGACACAGCTGATGGAGGAATCAATGAGGGAAGGAGCTTGGCTGGATCTCATTCTTACAAACAAGGAAGGACTGGATGGAGATGTGAAGGCCGGAGGCAGCCTTGGCTGCAGTGAGCACAAGAGTAGAGTTCAAAATCATGAGAGGCAGGAACAAGGCAACAAGCAGGATCACAGCCCTGCGTTTCAGGAGACCAATTTTGGCCTCTTGAAGGATCTGCTTGGAAGAATTCCATGGGAGATGGTCCTGGATAGAAGAGGGGTCCAAAACATTCAGTTGATTTTTCAGGATCACATCCTCTAAGCTCAAGAATGGTCCATCCCAATAAGCAGGAAATCAAGCAAAGGTGGCAGAAGGCCTGCATGGATGAACAAGGAGCTCCTGGCTAAACTCAATCATAGAAAGAAAGCGTAAACAAGGTAAAAGCAGGGACAACTGACCTAGGAATAACAGAGACACTGTCCAAGCATGCAGGGATGAGGTTAGGAATACCAAAGCGCACCAGGAGTTGAATCTGGCAAGGGTTGTGACAGTCAATAAGAAGGGCTCTTACAGGTATATCAGCAACAAAAGTAGGTAGGGGAAATGTGGGGCCACTGCTGAATGGGGCAGGGGCCCTGGTGACAAAGGACATGGAAAAGACTGAGGTCAGTACTCAATGCCTTCTTCACCTTGGTCTTTACTTGTAAAACCTTCAAGAATCCCAGATCTCTGAGACCTGCTGGAAGGCCTGGAGCAGGAAGACTTGCCTTAAGAGAAGAAAATTCAGTTTAGGTACATTTAAACAAACTGATCATACACAAGTCCATGGGACTTGATGGGATGCACACAGGAGTGCTGACAGAACCGGCTGATGTCATTGTGAGACCAAATTTGATCATCTTTGAAAGGTCATGGCGATTAGAGGGGTTTCTGAGGACTGGAAAAAAAATGAATGTCTCTCCTATCATCAAGAAGGTCAAGGAGGAGGATGTGGGGAACTACAGTCCAGTCAGCCCCTCCTCAAACCCTGGGAAGGTGATGCAGCAAATAATCCTGGAAACCACTTCCAAATATAGGAAGGATAAGAAGGTGACTAGGAGTAGTCAGCATGGATTTAAATCATACTTAACCAACCTGATAGCCTTCTACAATAAGATGACTAACTCAGTCAATGAGGCAAGAAGTTCAGATATCGCTCATCTCGACTTTTAGCAAGGCTTTTGACACCATCTCCCACACTATCCTCACAGACAAGCTGACTGTGCGCACCCTCCACAAGTTTGCAAATGATAGAAAAGTGGGAGTAGTGGTTGATATCCTAGATGGCAGTACTGCCATTTGGAGGGGCCTCGACAACGCTGGAGAAACGGGCCAACGGGAACCTCATGAAATCCAATAAAGGGAAATGCCAAGACCTGCACGTAGGGAGGAATAATCCCATGCATGAGTGCAGGCTGGGAGCTGACAGGCTGGAAAGCAGCTTTGCAGAAAGGGTGCTGGGCATCCTGGTGGACAACAGGTTGACCGTGAACCAACAACACGCCTTCATGCCAGAGAAGGCCAATAGCCTCCTAAGCTGCATTAGGAAGATCATTGCCAGCAGGTCAAGGGAGGCAATCCTCCCCTTCTACTGAGCACTGGTGAAGCCACATCTGGAGGGCTGGATCCAGTTCTGGGTTCCCCAATGTAAGAGAGACATGGACCTACTGATGTGAGTCCAGCAAAGGTCCACAAAGAGGATTAAAGGACTGGAGCATCTCTCATACTAGGAGAGACAAGGAGCTGGGACCGTTCAGCTTGGAGAAGACAAGGCTTCAGGGGATCTCATAGATGTGTATAAATACCTGTTGATAGAATAAAAGAGGCAGAGCCAGACTCTTCTCATTGGTGCTCAGTGAAAGGACAAGAAAATTGAAATATAGGAAATTCTGTTTAAAAATAAGAAAAAACTTTTTTTTTTTCTGAGAAGGAGGTCAAACACTGGAACAGATTGCCCAGAGAAGTTGTGATATGCCTGGTGATACTCAAAACCTGACTGGACATATCCTGAGCCACCTGCTGTAGTTCACCCTGCTTTGAGCAGGTGGATTGGACTAGACCATCTCTAGTGGTCTCATCCAACCTCAACCATTCTGTGATTCCATGAAAGCCATTATTAAATATACCATTTTGAAAAAATGTTTCTCCCTTCATTCTTACCTGCAAAACATGGGAATATCATTATGAGTACATCAATAAATGGTGATCTACTTGCAATGACTTATTAAAATCATACAGACATTTTAAAATTATATAAATAGATTAGAAAACTGAAAGTCAGACTGTGAACTGTTTTTTCCATACTGCTTTAAAGAGCAATATAAAATAAAATGGGACAATCAGCTGCATTAAAATCCTGAAGTAAAACTAAAGGTTAGGTTCCTAGGCATGGAAGCACAAGAAAAAACTGTGTTCTACAAAGGCTGAAGGCCCTAACTCTTACTATATTGGGTATTCTCTGCTTCAAATATTCAAAGTTGTTTAGAAAATTTAAACTGGCCTTATTTTGATCACGTTCACAAGTGGTCTTCTTTATGAATACTGAGTGTAATTGAGTGTATACTTGCTTTTAAGAAGCAGGTTTTGATAAGATTGTCTGCCAGCTCAACCCTTAACAGAAAGTGACAAGGAGAAGAGAAAGGAAATTATCTGAATATCCCATGTGGGACTGAGTGCTTATCAGAGACATAAGCTCCTGACTACAAGGAAGAGATAGGGGAGACTTGATGTGACATTTATACTGTATTCACTTTAGAGACCTCAAAACGCCCTGCTATATGCCTTCTAAAAAAATCCTGAGCCCCCTAAAATGTCAAGAAAACAAGGAAATATAATATATACTTTCACCTATATGATTAGCTATATATTGCATTCACACAGCAGTTTCAGACATTATAGTGTTAAATTCTGTTTCCTTTTCAAGCACACAATGCATTGGATTGCTTTACTTACTAGTAGCAGTAGCAGGACAATATCAGGATTATCACATGCACAGGCTACGTGCATTGAGGTCCAAAAATCCTCGTCCTGATGATTTACATTTACTCCTCTGTCAATTAGAATTTCTGCAGCAAATGCATTATCATAGCGGGCACACTAGAAGAAAGAAAATGAGATTAGAGACTCTAGAGACAACTGAATTACGTACGTTTTTTTCAACCTTTGTTTTTGCTCCATTTACCATTTAAATTGAGCAGATCGCGCACTGCAGTTTAAACGGCTGTGTTTGTAAGGGACAGCAGCTGATGAAACCATAGAAATAGCTTTGTGGGGACTACAGGATCCATATGCAAGATTCACAGAGTCCCTTATTCCCTGTGAAATAGCACTAGGTGAAATCTGCCGAAACCTACAGTGAAGACGAGATTTTATTTCAGTTCAATGCTGTCACTCCAAATCAGCGCATTGGGACTGAACGAACACACTGTGAGTAGAAGGGTCTACGTATATGCATACCCACATACACACATGTCCACACATGTAGGAACTCCTTCCTCTTATGCAGTTTGCAGCAATAATACATGCCTTTCTATACTGATACTATACTGATTCCCATTCAGGTCTCTGATGGATAAATACTCTGTACACTAGTGTGTGCGTGCGCGCGCGCGTGTGTGTGTGCGTGCGCGCGCGTGTGTGTATACTTTTCCTCATGTTGATGACTGAGGTCACTATTTTTTGCCAGAGAAGAAGGAACTGGCTTTGCCATAGTTTCAAACTACTCTGTCATACCTCTGACATTCTACGTATGTGCTCACAGATGATAATTTCAAGAACAAACAGAGCACTAAGTTAAGCCTAAGTCTGGCCTCAGTAGCTCTTTCTATAAAGACCGTCTCTCTCTTTCCCCACTGAAGAGAGGCTACAGGAAACTTAAATTTCTATACTGCTCACTTAGATGCTTTGAATATCATCCTTAGCCTGTATGTCTTGTCCAATATATAAAAGCACGATAATATTTTCCTGTCCCAGAAAGCACACATATAGAATGAGAGCATAAATATAACGAAATCTGAAGACAATTTGCAAATTAGGGTCACATAATTGTGCTATAACCTCTATATCACACGTGGAAACTTACCACGGCTTCCATCCAGTTTGCTCATCTGCATTAATTTGGCATGGAAGCCAGAACATTGGAGAAAGAGAGGAAACAGGAAAAGTGTCTAACTGGATCTCGTTCCACTGGGAAGTCAAAACATAGCTGAGTTACTCAGCTGAACACACAACTGCATGTGCTACTGGGCTCACAGTCACAGATGTAATATAGACACCTTGGAAGATGAAAACTAAACTCTAGCAGGCTATGAGCAGCCCTGCCTTAAATAAGTTCAAACATATTGGCCATTAAATTATAGAATAGAAATTAAGTTCTGATGTAATGCATTTCCTCTAGTTTATAACTTATCTGATACCACTAGAAACAAATAGAAGTTTTTGCTTGTGCCATTGTACAACACACACTGAGTTATTCAATGTTCAAATTTTAACAAATCAGAGATAAGACATTTTCTAATATAGGTCAACACAAGCTTATACCCGTCACATTTTCAAAGTATTGTTAAGCAACATAACCACAACAAATTAGTTTAAAAAAAATAAAACCTTTCCAGAGAGCATCCATACAAAACAAATCACTTATGTCACAGTGTAATTTTGTGTATTAATAATAGATAAAAAGCCTTTTGTAATCAGCCACCAGTTTGAAAACAGCCTAGATTCGCAGTAGCAACATAGCTGCTGCTGCTCCTTGATTCTTGTTTAATGGCCTTTGTGAAGCAATTCAGCAATCTCAGTCAAAGCACCAGGCAAAAATTACCACTCATTCACTTTGATAGGAGGGTGGGTTGATTGCCTGGGTGAGCCGGTGTGACATTACTGTGCCTCCTACTGAATAAGCAACCTAGATGAGTACTGGATTTTACCGTTTTTCCTCTCATGGATTTTAATGAGAGTTCAGTGAGCACCTTTGAAGCTCCCATGGCCTACCCGAGATTCAAGCATATTGGACTACTATCTACAGAGATAGCAACAGAGTCCTTATTAAGGACTGTCACATTCATTTTTGGTAGAAACACATTACATTTGGGAAGAGTATGGAAGTGGTAGAAGAAAAAAATATACCAGGAATCAGATTTTTCAGTTGAACAAAATGTGAAGATAAATATATTCTCCATTCATTCTGGAGCAAAGAGATTTACCCAATAGCCAGAAAGAACAAACACTGATCAGACTCCTTCAAGAAGTAGCTTGCATAGAATTACAGTGGTAAAACTAATATATATAATGGATCCAAGTGAGCCAAGAAACTTGACTTATCTGTTTTCCTGTAACATGACAATCCTCTTCTACTTGCACTGCTCCTACATGGGGGTTAAATCCAGGTTTCACTGAAATCAGTTAGCATTTTGCTTGTCTCTCACAGGACAAGCATTTTGCTGTAAATGAATGAGGAGTGCGTACAACTAACACTGACTAAACTGAGGCAGTAGGTCACACACTGTTTTGCGTAGCACTTTTGTTACTGCAGGGAGTTTTCCCTCCTTTTGAAGTGTATGTGTGACTGTGAAGTAGCAGGTCCCAATGGAGAGATACTGAATGTGCTAGCGTAATGAGGCGTGAAGCAGAAGAACAGGAAAACTGAAAAGATACTGTTCACTAAAATCTGCACTTAAAAAGTGCATATCATTTGAACTAGCCAAAGCAAGCTAAAATCTCTAAAGATTGATCTTTTTTTTTTCCCTCTTCTATTTTAAAATGTCCGTGGGCCAGATGGCACATCAGCCACACTGAGGACCCATCTTGCCTCCTAGGACTTCCAGCCCAGGATAAGATTTGGAATGTTTCCGTTTTGGGAGTCTCAAACATAACACCTCATATGGGCTGCATTTTTTAGAGAGCGGGTGGGGTTCACCACCTTCGCAAAAGATAAAGAGTTTGAGAACAGACAAGAAAATCTAATTTTGCTCAGTTCTACCTCATTATTGCACCCCCTCCACCCCTTACGTAGGCCTGTATTTCCCAAAGTCCTTGGTAAGTAGCACTGCCATGGAAGATAGAGAGTAGAGACTCATTACACAAGGGAACGGCTATATGTTGTAAGAGCATGGTTGCAGGCGTGCTGGAGCCCAGTGTTACAGGATCCTTTTTTGGTCAACAAACCTGCTCTCTTTTGTGTACCTACTATGAAAAACTGAACTGAAATGAAACACTCTGCTAGAAGACTTTTGAATAAATCAGTTATGTCCTTGCATTTGTAAAGGCACATTCATTTTAGCAGCAGTATTATGCAAAAAGCTTGGATCCAAGTATCTTAAGAGAGTTTCAGACCGAACAGACAGTAAGTCTCTAACTGAAGCATTACGGAGCAAAATACAAGATCATAAGGCTTTGGAATTTATGATAAGTTTTGCCATTGTCTTCAGCAAAGCCAAAATTTTACTTCTGCAGTGTTTTCTCTCAGGCTGGCTATCAATCTCACAACACAAGCCCTTACACATTGCTTCTATTTCAGTCACTGAATATAAAGAAACTGTTTTCCTTTTATCTCCCAGCTATTTAATGTAAATTGATGTTCAAATAATGATAAACTAAATACACATAATGTGTAGGAAAACAGTGTAAGAAAATACACATAAAAACAAAAGAAAGATGTCACATCACTGTGTTTTTCATATAGGATACGTGAATCTTTGAACCATATTATTCTATCTGTAGAATGAAGCAATATTTCCTTTGTTCTTACTTACTGTGCAGATAATTAATACATAAAACATTTCAGTCTACGTTGTTAGTAATCACTCCTATGACATGATCCATCCTTTCATAAGCAATTTGAAAACCACCACTTACTTGACACGCCTAGCTAGATGCAATCATAATCTTTGTGGAGGACAGTGAAGAAAAAATTATTGCCAAGCCTTTATTTTTGTTAATATGCCCAATCAGCTCAGTATCCCACCATATTTATCCGCAGTCACTAACACTAATCTTCAATCACCCTTACCAGATGGAGCAAGGAGCCTCCTGAGGAAATGAATGTATGAGGGTCGGCACCATCCTTCAATAGCCGTAGCACTGAAATATAAAAGAAAAGAGGAACAAGAATTAATGTAGCAATATACCCAATTCTGAGCTGTTAATAGCCTGATTCTTCATCATCTTCATTAACAGATTTAATAATATATGCAAACCTCTGAGATAACATTTGCAAAACTATCACGTCAGCATTTCCCATCTCATCTATTTTAATGGCTAGGCCTGGAAGCATAGGACCTTTGATAATGATGTTAACCATGAACAATATCAAGGCCTTCTCAAGAGGAAAGATGAGGATATTTAGTTCTGTACATAGGGGAGGGGAGGGGAGGGGAAAGCTAGAGGAGAGACTGTCTCAAGGTCAAACTCATCTGATTAGTTCATGTGGTAGCAAAATCACAGTCAACTGGTTCTATTTTATTTAGCAGAGTTCCCATGAGACCTATTGGATTTTTCAGTAAATGATTGAGACCAGTGTTCATAACTTATATTGCTCGAAATTAATCTTCACGCCATAGCTAAGCGAACTGCACTCAATTCCACCTCTACAGTGCATTGTCAGATCACTGACGCAGCATAATTCTTAAAATGCTGTTTTGGAGCCAAATTCCACTCCCAGTTACACATATCAAAACCCTTCTGAAATGAAAGCAGGCATTTAAATGCAAGCAGAAAACAATCCCGCATATTACTGCTCCTTCAAGTATGAAAATTCAGTGCTTTTTCTCCTTGGTCTTTACTGCCTTTATAACCTTTTCACTTGGCGTGAAAGCATTGTCTAACTCACGCTATCACGTTCACTCCTGGGGGAGGACTGCACAGTGACAGACATTATCAGAGAAATTCACCCCCAATTGCACCGTTTCCTTCACTCAACTGGCATAAAGAACCCTTTTAAAAGGCCTCCATCCAGGAGAATTACTGCTCTGTAAGAACATAGCTGGTTCTACCTCCGTCATCATATAGAAATCCTATTTTTAATTCCTATTTAAAAGTATGGATGGGGCTGTGAAAGGCCTGCACAAAACTTTGAAGGTCCAAATACCCTAGAAATGTTCACCACTGCAACATCTGTCATACAGGAGGGCCATAAATTTGTCTCAAAGCTGTTCTAACTTCTGTGGATCTGTCAAGAGACTAAACCATCTCCTCCTTGCCCACACATCTTTTTGTGTGTTTACCTTCTCTTAAGAATATCTTTTAACTCCAGGCTTTTTCATTGTACATTTAAACTTCTTACTGTCTTCAAATATATAGCTAGCCTATTTTAAACTGATCAGATTTCTTTTCAAATACTGCTAATTTACATAAGCAATGTCTTCTGTAAACGCTGAGTTATCTTCAGGCAGATATTCTAGAAAAATTCAGCCTGAAAAAGAAAATTTAGCTAAATGGTTGCATTAAAATGAAAGCAGACCATAAATTGAGAAAGTTTTGACACTATCATTATTAAATGCTTCACACATAGTAAGCACACAGGTATATAGGGCACAAATTTACAGTACTTATACACATCCATTTAATTCTTTTTGCTTTTTTAAACTTTGAAAATCAAAAATCAATCCAAACCATTGTATAAATTCACCCTTTATGAATAGCTCTATAGTACCTATTCCACCTCACTCAAAGTTTTGCTTCATTTAATTTACAAAACCGTAAAAGACTTATGTTCTGGCAAATGCCATTTTGAAAGCTAGCTACTCTTAAAAGGCACTGCTGTCCCCAGCATATCCATTAAAAGTAGAAGCGGAACATTAAGTAACATGGATTAAATGAGCTGTACAACAACTGCCAAGCAAGATAAAAACACTGAAGGAGAGGGGAAGGCTGGAGAAATACTCACAAATTTTCATAACCTTGCAAAAAGTGGATGAATGATAAAAAACAAAGGACTTCTTTCTGCTGTCAGATACAGAAATCCAATACTAAAGGATGCAATTGTCCTCATCCAGACAGAACCCATTAAAAGTAAATGTTCAAAATTAAGCTCCTTCCTTCTCCTACTTTTATTGCCTAAACTGCTCATCATAAATGGACACATTTCCTCAGGTTTTAGTGGGTGAAGACCTTATTTTGAATCTCTCCTCCTTAAACAGACGTGCAACTACATTTCCAAGAGTTGATATTTTTGATATTTGTATGCTATGCAGTTTTCTTCGTAGGCCAGAAAATAAGAATTCTGTATCACAAAAGATTTTTTTCAGGCTCCAAAAGAAATCTCATTCTGCCGATCGTGTCAGGATTTCACCTGAACAAATTAACACCCAAAGTCGTTCCCCTTCCTGCATCTCTGTTTTTCAGAGGGAAAAAATGAATCCCACCCATTCCAGACTCTAAGCCATTAATACAGTGTTTTTATGCAACATTCTTTCTTATAGACTCTGCACATGGTTTAACCATGTAAACTATGGTTTTACCCACAGAGAAATACTCATTTGCAAATATGGAGATTAAGGTAGACAGTCCTTAAAAGTGTGGTTTGCAGGAATTACTAAACTACCATAATTCTGTTCTCAGCAGATTTTAACTAATGACATCGGCTGGAATATATCATTCTCCGAAAACGCC